AAAGGAAAGGAAGGCAACAAAATGCCACCCAAAGCCCTCTGCCCCTCAAAAGCTGTTGTGAAGGACACTGAAGTAGAAAATGTCACAAACAAAAACCCCAAAAACCAAATGGTCAAAATGTTTGAAAAGTTCAAAGAAAAAAATTCATAAGCCATTTTATAATATATTTAATATGCTTAAAGAGGATTTCATTAAATATATAAAAGATTTTACTAATAAAATGTTAAATAAGCTTAAAGAAAAAACAAGCAATAAACTAATGGAGTTAAACAAGGTAGAACAAAGTATGGGTGATCACTGTGGTAAGGAATTAGAAATTATGAAAAGAAAAACATGCAGATATAGAAGATAGGGAAGATTCAATAGAAAATATGACTAATGGATTTGACCATTGTGAGAACAGAGTGTCAAAAATTGAAGGCAAGGTGGATGTAGTAGATCCAAAGTCAGTGATACCCTAAAAATGACATGGCATCATGCAGGTGAATGCAACAGCTGCTAAGTGACTCACGAAAATCAACATCAGAATTATAGAAGTATAGGAAAAATGAAGGGACCATTCAAAAGGTATAAAAAATATATGCCCTGAAATCATAGCACAAAACTTTCCATATCGAGGGAAAGAATTCAATATTCAAGTATGAGAATCATGCAGCACTCCAAATAGCCATGACCAGAAAATAACCTCTCCATAACACATCATAATTAAAATTCCAGAACTTCAGCAAAAGGAGAGAATACTAAAAGTTTTCTTTTTTAGAAAAGCAGCTAGTTATTATAAAGGTAAATTTATCAGGATTGCAAATCTCTCAGTACAAACATTAAAGACCAAGAGAGCAAGGAGTGAAGTTGTTCAAGCCCTAAAAGAAAACAATTATCAACCTAGACTTCTAAAGTCTGCAAACTGAGCCTTCAAAATAAATGGAGGAGACTTTCTATGACAAAGAAATTTTAAAGAAATATATGACCAGTAAACCAGCATTCAGGGACAGGGAAGGGCTTGCCTGGGAAGTATAAGGTCCTGAGTTTGATTCCTAGTACCAAAAGACTCCTCCCCCTCAAAAAAAAAAAAAAGCAGCATTCAGAAAATACTATAAGGTACCTTACCAGGAAGAGAGAGGCCACCAGCACCAAACAACCCAAAGGAAAGTATATACAGTATTAGCAAAAGAAACAACCGAAATTCCACAAACACAAAGGTTAAACAATACACTACTGACTAGTTGAGGGGTCATAGAAGAAATCATGGAAAAAAAAGATAAAGTTGCTACAATCAAATGATGAGCGAAGCATGACAGTGAGATACAGTGGGAGCAGTTCTAAGCAGGAAATTCATAGCTGTGAGGGCACACATTTAAAAAATGCAGCAATCCCAAAGGAACAACCAAATGATGCAGCTCAAGGTCCTATAAAAACAAGAATGATCATATCTGAAATTAATAGAAGGAAAGACGTTATAAAAATCAGAGCAGAAAGTAATGAAACTGAGGCTAATAACACAAAAATCAGTGAATCAATATTAAAAAATAATTTAAAATACATAATTTGTATATGAATCCTTCTGCTTTCCTCATTTTTTGCCATTACACTGTTTCTATACTTTTTTTAACCACTTAGCCCAGTTTGGAAAAGTAAAGGAAGGCAAGCAGAGCCCATTAATAGTTCTTTTCATCCTTATGCCAAAGGCGCCACACTTCGATGCACTAATCAATGCCATATACTGAATACAAAAATGTAAGTATAACATTTTTCTGATTTTGGAAATCGTTAATGGAACTTACCTCCCACAGTTTGTTAAAAGGTAGTGCTAAAGCACAAATTTCAGCCCATACTGCAGAATTTAGCAGCCTAGTATTCCTCATATGTGAGTGTACCCTCCACTATACTTAAGTAGTATTATTTACAGAGGAACAACATTTTTTGTTGTTTTAAAGTAAATCCATCATTCCACCTATTTCTTTTCAAAAACAAGGCAAATAAATTGTGACAAGGATACAGTTAAAATAAGAGCCCTGCTCTGGGTATTTCAGAAAGGTTTTCAGGCTTAAAGATAAAATAAGCACGTATACTTTGTGATGTCACAAACTGAAAGCCATGGAGATAATCAATAATAAAGGAGCCCTTTCGGCCGGAACTGCCATCTTCCAGTAAGCTGTCAAAATGACGAACACAAAGGGAAAGAGGAAGGGAACCCGGTATATGTTCTCCAGGCCTTTTAGAAAACATGAGGTTGTTCCTTTGGGCATATATATGCGAATCTACAAAAAGGGTGATATTGTAAATATCAAGGAAATGGTACTGTGCAAAAAGGAATGCCACACAAATGTTACCATGGCACAACAGGAAGAGTCTACAATGTTACCCAGCATGCTGTTGGTGTTGTCGTAAACAAGCAAGTGAAGGGCAAGATTCTTGCCAAGAGGATTAGTGTGTGTATTGAGCATATTAAGCACTCAAAGAGTCGAGATAGCTTCCTGAAAGGTGTCAAGGAAAATGATCAGGAAAAGAAGGAAGCCAAAGAGAAAGGAACCTGGGTTCAGCTGAAGCGCCAGCCTGCCCCGCCCGGAGACGTGCACTTTGTGAGAACCAATGGGAAGGAGCCTGAGTTGTTGGAACCTATTCCCTATGAATTCATGGCATAAGCTGGGGCTGGAGCTCTGCCATTCAGCGCCTAATTCCCCCTCGGTGTTCTAGGCCCCACTTAAATGGAAAAAAACCATCTTGTGTTGTAAGGATGGTTTTCTTAATTGAACAAATGTTTGATGCATTTACCTCAGAAACAAGTATCTGGAGCAGATTTTCATGCCATCTAGTTAATTGTGTCAGGTCTTTACTCTTTGGTGTTTTTCTTGCAGAAAGATACTGCTGAGGTATTGTGTAGCAGTATAGCTAGATGACCACATATTTATGAAATATTTATATTGGCTTGAAGATCCTATAAATCACCATGGCAAAAAGATGTAACAAAATAAATGGAAGTCACTGCAGTTAAATAAATGGAAATCCATTTCAGTTAAAAAATAATAATAAAGGAGGTATATGGGAGTTCATGAAAGTCTAAGAATCTAGTAGGAATTACTAAAGGAAACGTTAATGCCCCCTCCCAACCTTCCAGATTAAAGGAGACTAAAAAGACATGACAATTAAATATCACATGTAGATTCCTTTGCCATAAAGGGGTGATTTCTGAAATACTGAATCAAGATGGTCTCCATATCCAACCTGCAGCCCACAGGTTGGACACGTCAAACTCATATATGCATATAGTTTTCCTGATTTGAATATTTGTATTGCAGCTATTTAACAGAATGTCCTTGGCTGTCTTTGTATACATACTGAAGCATTTAGGAGTACAGGGAAATCATGTTTATAACTTTTAAACAGCTCAGAAAATAGTAGGTTATAAGCAGGAGACAAGGAGAGACAGGTACAAGCGTGGGGGAAAATATGACAAAATGTTAATTTTAGAGAATTTGGAGTAAGGAATATGGGATTTTTTGTAATTGTATTTTCTGTAATTATCAGTACTTCTGAAATTATTTCAAAGTACAAAATTTAAAAATTAATGATCTTCCCTGAGAGTCACAGAATCAATGCCTCTGAGAATGCTCATTTGAGCAAAAAGTTTCCATGATATTCTGCTACTGAAATCTGAGGCCAGTGGTCTGACTTTGGGGATTCCAACAAATCAGGTCCAGCCACTTGCATTGAGAAAAGCCAAGCGTAAAAAGTCACAGTGAAACAGGAGAAGAATTTAACCAATGTAGGTAGTTACATTGGGGGAAGACAAGCAAAATCAAGCATCTCAGCCTTATCTTGAGGGGCACTGAGATTGGGTTTAGTTTCAAAAGAGGAAGAATGGGGGCAGTGTGAGAAAGAAATGCACCATTAAATACTCTTAGTTAATGCATGGTATGCTTGACTATTACCTCTGTTCTGGCCTGTGGCTTGAAGGGATGATCTAGTACACACAGTACCTGCTCCTGATTAGGCAGGTAGCTCAGTCATGGTCCTGAGATAACTGTTCCCACCTCGCAGGGTGATCTCATCATAGGGTGATTTGTCTGTGAGGTTCTGCTGCTCCTGGAATCCAAGGTGACTTCAGGTTTCGAGCAATGACTAGACATTTCTAGACTATGCTACAGGGAGACTGAAGAGGACATACTAAATTCTGGCAACTGAACGTCCCTACAAATCTTAAAAATACCTGACTCTTGTTTCAGTGTTCTCAGTTTTGAAGAGAGAGGACATAGGTCAGGTATTTAGGGAAAGGGTGGGATAGTTGTGCATGCCTACAGTCCTAGCACTCTGGGAGGCTGAAGTAGGAGGATTGAAAGTCCTAGCCCAGCCTGGGCTACTGAGTGACTTAGGAAAACCCTATCTCAAAATTTAACAGAAGAAAAAGAATTAGAAGTGGCTGAGGCACAACTCAGTGCAAAAGCCCA